CAATAACTGTCTTTTAATTCAAGTTCTTGAAGTCCATATAAAACTAAATATTTTGGTGGAATTACTGCTGAAAAAGTTTGGAGAGCTTTAATCTGTGATGATAGGAGGGAAGCTATTTCCCTAGCAGCATACTTATCTACCATGGTTACTGTTGCTATGGTACATTACAGTGTTGCTATGAAGACCATGTTTTCACAAATATTTGGAAACATTTCAACATTAATAATTATTCAGATCTTCTCCACATTCAAATGCAAAGAGTTCTTCTGTTTGGTCCTTGTGTTCTCCATGTGAACATCAACAGTGCATTTTTGTGAGTTCTTCTGTTGGTTGCTATCTGTGTGTGTTTCTTCCACATGTTTTTCGCTATGTGTATATTTTGTGCTCGGCGTGCGTGATGCATCGCCTGATGTAGCTGCTTTGCTACTGCCTGCCGCTCTTTGGTTTGTAAAAAGCTGATTATGATATCGTTTTATTGCGGCTTGTTGTTGATTATTTTTAGGCTCTGATGGAGATGTGTCTTCCTCGTCCTCGCGAGGGACCTGCTTTCTTCTGTGACGTCGATAAACTCGGTAAAAAACAAACAGCAATAGAATCACGGACAGCAATAGCACAACAAGTAGTGTAAACATCCACAGATTCTGCGTAACTACAAAAAGAAAATGACAACTAATATTAATACTGTAACAATGCATATATGGCAGGGGTGGATCCAGGGATGTCTGAAAGGGGGGACAGAAAGGGGTCCGAAAGTGGGGCTGATCACAATAACACCACCATAGGGGGTCCGGGAGAATTTCCCCGCAAAATTCTTGTTTCCTAGACACCTGAAAATAACCTCTGAGGCATTTTGGGTGATTAATTTTTTTTCCTTTCCAAAAAGGGGAGCCTCTAAATCCGCCACTGTATGGAAAGTTTAATACATATAATTTTTAATAATTAGGCGAAATGCCTAAGCCTCTGGATGTCCCTCAGAGGTTGCCAGGTTCTCGGAAATTTTCATTATTTATTATTATTATTATTATCATCATCATCTTGTCTTCTCCATTGTTTGTACTTACATTGATTATTTTGGGATGACTGAAGTGAGTATGTTAATTTTTGAATGGTGACGACAGCTGACAACACTGAATTACTGGTACCAGCTTCCAAGTAATCTACGATGGCATTGATGAGCGCAACTGTGCTGTTAGCTTCTTTCGCCTCTGGCAATGACTGCAAATGAAATATTATTTTATTATAAAAAAAAATGTAAACTAAATAATAAAGATTATATTTAAAATTGATTGATTGAATTTATTTAATGCCCAATATGCAAGATAAAAATGATTTGTAAACAAAAAAGTTAAAAAATAATGAGCATGTGTTTAAATGCACTCTATTGAGATAAGTTTGTTTCTACAAACTGTTCAAACTTTTGATACATAAACAACTTAAATAGCTAGAAGAAATGTAACCAAGCATAAGAAAGGTTCAAAATTTTGAGACATTTTTTTTGAGACAATATCTGACATTAGAACCTATAGTACTCCGCACTTGGAACATATTAAATATGAAATCTGCAGAGTTTTTTTTTTATTATTATGTACTGTAATCATATTTACAGTTCTAACACTAACCAGCCCTACCTACAAATCATATTCACCATCCTAAACAAAGCAATATGCTTATCATACATTTTCATAAAAAAAAAGTGAGATTCAGATTTTAACATTTTATACCAGGGCAAAATTGCACCGCGAGGAGGCTATGCTTTTACTGCGTTGCGAAATGTAACCAAGCATAAGAAAGGTTCAAAATTTTGAGACATTTTTTTTGAGACAATGTCTGACATTAGAACCTATAGTACTCCGCACTTGGAACATATTAAATATGAAATCTGCAGAGTTTTTTTTATTATTATGTACTGTAATCATATTTACAGTTCTAACACTAACCAGCCCTACCTACAAATCATATTCACCATCCTAAACAAAGCAATATGCTTATCATACATTTTCATAAAAAAAAGTGAGATTCAGATTTTAACATTTTATACCAGGGCAAAATTGCACCGCGAGGAGGCTATGCTTTTACTGCGTTGCGTAAAAGAAGGAATTCTAGTTATTACTTAAATGATGATGGTAAAAAGTGACTTACCACAGCAACTGCGATTGAATCAGGGGGTAGTTCAGAGCAAAGTAACACCACTGGTCCAGCATTGTCACTAACAAACATGGCAGCACTGTACCGTAACAGAAAGCATACATCATCTACAGATATGCCCTGAAATACAATAAAACAAAATCATAATTGCTAAAGTACTGACTCCGTTCCAAAATATAATTTACATTTAATTTATAATATTTTATCCTTAGAACTAAAATTTCACATGTATTTAGAGAAATATAAATAAAACACAGAAAAAACAAATTGATTGATGGATTGATTGAATACAAATTATTAGCGAAAGGCTCTTACTATAATGGACAATTTATTTATTTTTCCAGTTTATCCAATTTAGCAACACAATGCAAATCTATATATAGACGATGGATTGGAGAGCTTATAGGAAAAGAATATTGATTGTCATTAGAATGTACTTCTTTGTATACAAAACCAGAACACACAAACACATTATAAATTTTAGTAAAAAATATATGATTGAAATAATAAATATGTTAATAGATTTAAAATGATTTCTGATTTCTGTTACTATTGCTTTAAAATGATTTACAAGATTATAATATTCTCTCTGTTTTCCTTTGTCAGTTTGAACAATATTTGTTCAACTTCTGAATCTTTTTATTTTGTTGTATATTTTTATAGACTTATAGGTCTTACTTATAGGTGTAGCCACCTAAGCCTTAGTCTGATATAGAACAATATATATGAAATTAAAGCAGCACTTTTAAGACTAATGATAGAATTTATTCTCTAGCTTTCGTCCACACAGCGGACTTCAACAGACAGCTGGAGCTTGTAGTATGTTTGCTAGGCCCTGACTTCTTCTGTCCTGATGACTTTGTGGCTTTTGATGTCCCAGGGCATTTTTGTCTGAAATGAGCAGTTGGCTTTAAGGTGTTGTCCCTGCTCCTTCTGCGTTAAACATAAATCTAGATGCCCAGCATCGAGATTTTATTGGAGTATGATTGCTTTTCTTTTCTCCTCGAATAACCCTCATATTGAGAGTTAAGTGGTTAAGGACTATGTTTGTATCTGTACGTATCTGTTACATGTTGTAGTTAAGTTCAGTGAAGCTGCACTGCAGTTGCCCAAAATTTCAATTTTCAATTTGAATGATGACAAATAAGAACTACTAT